GCTAACGGGCCATACCGATTCGGTTTTGGCCGTCGCGTTCTCGCCGGACGGCCAGCTCGTAGCGTCGGCGTCGGGCGACCGCACCGTCAAGCTATGGCACGCCGGCACGGGCGAAGAGAAACAAACGCTAACGGGCCATACCGATTCGGTTTTGGCCGTCGCGTTCTCGCCGGACGGCCAGCTCGTGGCGTCGGCGTCGGACGACGGCACCGTCAAGCTATGGCACGCCGGCACGGGCGAAGAGAAACAAACGCTAAGGGGCCATACCGACTGGATTAGCGCCGTCGCCTTCTCGCCGGACGGCCAGCTCGTAGCGTCGGCATCGGGCGACCGCACCGTCAAGCTATGGCACGCCGGCACGGGCGAAAAAATACAAACGCTACCGGGGAACCGTTTCATTCGTACTATTAAATTCGACGTTTCGACGCAGTCTCTCCTTACAAATACCGGCCGCATTAGCTTGGGCAGCGCCGCTCCCGCGACAGCTCAAAATAGCGAAATCGCTAACGCCGCTCCCGCCGCAGGAGCCGCCACCCAACGGCGGCGGGAGCAGCAGCTAAAGCAAAAGCCGTACGGCCTCGACGGTGATGGCTCCTGGATTACATACGATGGAGAGCGCGTGCTGTGGCTGCCGCACGAGTTCCGACCGTGGTCGTCGGCGGCTTGGGGATCTGCGATCGCTATCGGCTGTATATCGGGCCGGGTCCTAATATTCAGGTTTAGTGACGGCGAGACGCCTTTAATGAGTTAGTTGGCCGGTTTATTATTGCTATTACAATTACGTGTAAAAAGGCTGCTTTGTTGTACAGGCCTTCCTTCCCATTGTAATTTCTTTTGCTTCATTCCCCGCTCTGGACGGGTCGAAGGGGACTGCGTGGATTTATGTCTTTAGTCGCTTTCGAGAACATTCTGCCTTTACTATAGTGTTACGTACGTACTGCTTACAGCCATGAGCCGGAGAACTGGCCGTGACCGGTGGACAAACGTGCCCACGCCCAGCTGACATGCATGCCACCGCCCTGCACCCTAGACGCGCCGTCGATGTTCGAGACGGAGCCGAGGCAAGCGCCGAGATGGCAAGACGCTAACACTGCAGGGCTATGCGGCGTGTCGGACTACGCAGACTCTCACAAGAATGACGAGTGGCAGCATTACACTGCAGCGGCGGCTGTGGGATGTGCCAAAGAACTTTTTTCGCACGTGCGTCCAGCAAAGCCCACGAAGCCAGAGTCGGTGCCCATGGATGGCCACAGCGAAATGGGCCGTTCTGGTGGGCCTCGTTCGCAGGGATTTTGCGGAGTTTACCACTCGGGTTCTGGGAGTTTTCCCGTAGGATGTAACCTGAACATCGGGCGCTAGATCCGGCGGCCGCGCGAAATGGTTGGCGGATGGACAGCAGTACTTCGTTTGTGATATTGCCACAACGCTTCCTCCTCCAGAGATGAGCCCCCAATTTCCCGGCTAGTTATCTGAAAAGTGAACCCTGTACCTCGAGAATGATGTAGTTTCCATATACCTGAAAACCCCAAAATTGGGTGTGCAAACAAAAGTGAAGGCATACGCGCTTGCAATCTATCGTAACTGGCATGCTTGGGCCCGTGTTATACCGCACTCCCTGCTGCCCCGGAAGAGTTAGCAACGGCAAGTGGGGCAAAAATGGGCTTCTGCCACGGAACTTCCGCCCGCGGGATGTTGTCGCTGACGCACGTATCGTGGTGCTGCCTATCGCAGAGCGATTCATCTTCGCCGAAACCGCGCACGAACCACCGCGTTAAAAGGGCGGCCCCTGGCCAGCGCCGTGGTACCGTTGGCGATAGCTGACAGCGATTCCAGCGTCTGTGCCAGTTGGGCATTGCCCTTTGGGATTGCCGCCGCTGATCCCATTGGGTTCCCGCAGACTGCGACTCTACGCAGGGCCGGATTAGAACTCTGGCCACCTTGGATCCCGAGTGATCCCCAAGTGAGGGGCCCCTCTGGCCAATGGCCACCCTCCATTTGCCCCCC